GCTGGTGGCTCGGTGGAACCATACTGGACTCTTTATCAGCAACACAAAAATGAAACGGTAACTTTCAATATTATTTGGCATTGCCTTTTCTTTGAGGATTTTTCATAGTCAAGGTAATGGAAATTCTGGAGGAACTTCGTATTGGTAATTTAGACCCCAGTGAAGTAGAAGTGGTCAAGGAAGTGAGTTTATAGGTTTATTTATCTTTCTTCTGTTCCTTCTTTGTTACTTCCCTAGTTGGAATATGTTGGGTCAATTGTACACACCTTGTATACCTGTCGGATATGTTTTTCTAAACCCTAGAGCGATGCTTCTGATCCATATGCATCAGACCCGGAGCGGCATCCAGCTTTGATCGTCGATCAGCAACGCCCTTTCAATGCGGAAACTCCTCCATCTCTACTTATGGATCATTTTCGAACACCAAATGAATTGTTCTTCGTCCGAAATCATATGCCTGTACCGAAGGTCGTGAGTTTTCTTCCTCCATATGCTGAGTTCGTGTCTGTAACTAGTCCTTTCAAAATAAGTTTTTCCGTGGTGTGAGCAATATATTTTTTTCTGAGACAGTATATCATTATTCAGATTGACATCAAGAAACATAGGCTGAAAGTTGAAGGCTTGGGAGTGAAACGCCCACTGAACCTTTCGGTTGAAGAGCTGAAGACCAAATATGAACCTGTTTCGATCACAGCGGTAGTGCAGTGTTCGGGTAATCGTCGAGCAAACATGAATAGGTCAGTTTTTCTGTTCCATGTTTCCAAAATTGTTTTTACTGCAAAACCAGTCTAAATGGGGTTTCGTTCGTTTTTGCTTTCATTTGCTCGAAAATTTCTTTTTGACTGTCTACATTCACCATAAGAAACCGGTCGCAACGTTTCCACACTATCTTTTTAGCTACAAAAAAGTGCAAGGACTGCTATGGGCTGAAACTGCCATCAGCAATGCAGAATGGACCGGTGTTCGCTTACGAGTGCGTTTAAGTGTCATCTTTCACAAAAGTACCCATTATTTTTCCAATTAAGGATCTCCTCATCCAGGCGGGAGTAAATCCTAACGATTCAAGGATAAAGCATGTCCACTTGGAAGGTGCTGACACAGACGGCGAAGGTGGGGTGATGTTCTTTGAGACATGAATTTCTATTTAGGAGCTTGCAGGTCAGAACTTTGGAGCCTCCATCACTTTTGAGAAAGCCATGAGTCCCGAAACTATCGTTGTGTATAGCATGAATGGAGAAGATCTTCCTCGGGATCATGGTTATCCATTAAGAATCATTGCGCCTGGTATGTCCAGAATTTTTCGTTCACAATTTTTTTCTTATATAAGTCAGTGTTGCACAGCACGACTTAGCCACCAAATTGTTGATGAAGTATGAGAAACCGCTCCCTATGAAGTGGTATTCGTGCTTTTTTGTCGGTTTTACTCTTTTTCAAGTTTTTGGAACTGGAACTTTGCAATAAGGACTTCGCTCTGTGTAACACACTGACTCCATTGCGCTTTAGCTACCTAAGGCTGGCGTCATACTTGAGCGGCACAGTTCCAGCA